ACAATGAAACACTTTCCATATTATTAAATGCCCTTTTGAAAATTTTTATTGTTATATTTTACAGACAGATACAGCCCACTAAATTATATCTATTTTACTGTTCATTTCCCAATCCAAAAATTTTCTTTCAGTTTTTCTGACCTTTTGGACTTCATAAGCTTTACAGGCTTAATACCACAAACTACATTAATATTTTCATTATCGATCATAATAATTCAATTTGTGTTAATTGAGAGCAGTTTATTTTATTTTTTATTTTTTTCTGAGAGGTTTATGCTATAGGGCGCGTGCGCTCGCCAGACAGACAGAGAGAGACAAAGAGACAGAAAGCGAGAAATCACCCTCCGGGGGGATGGCCACGCCGCAATCCCTTCTCCTCCATTCTCCTCTCGGGATCTTGGGCACTCATGCACACGCGCCCGGCATGAGTTTAAGCCACCGGATCTGGGACTTGAACCACGGTCAACTACGTGGGAGTCTAGTGACATAGCCATTACGCTAACTGCTGGTCCCAGAGAGCAGTTTATTTATTTTTTTTTAGCTGTACATAAATACTGTGTTGAAAAGGCTATAATAAAACACTTGATAAACGATAATTATCCTATATACGACAATAAAACTAATGACTAAATAAACAATGTATGCTTCATTCAAGCTTCAGGAAGCATTTCAAATTCTAATATTTGGGTATTTGGTGAATTTAGTCATGCTCATTATTTCTGCTTGTTCAATGAGTTTATCGACTTTTCAGATCGGAGGCCTACACTAGCCTTTATTTTTCGGAGCAGAAAAATGCTAATACTTTTTTCCTCTTCTTCTTATTAAGCAGATAATTAATTCCCTTGATTAGTTAAACTGAATTTTCACATTAATGCTGCCAATCTAGTCAAAACAAACATTCTCCCTTTTAGTCAAGTACAAGGAAACTCCTTCCTTCCCCCACTTTTGTTGGTATAATTTTGGTGCTTATCCCAGATTTTAATTCATTTCAGCGGAAATAAATTATAGAGGAATAAATCCACCAGTATGTTCCAGATGGCTCTTATTCGTATGAAAAACCTTAAAAGAGAAATGCTAACTACAGCTATGCTCAGATGATCCTTCTTATCTATTAGACGGACAAAAGTCTGAGTTTGTTGACATACCTGCTGGAAGGCTGGCAGGGAGCAGGCTCTCACCCACTCCTGGTGCTATTATAAGAATGGTGCAACTGTGATGAAGGAGAATTTGGCAATAGCTTACGAAATTGTGAAAGTATTTGCCCTTTGATCTGCCAGTCAACTTTTAGGACATACCCTAAAGATACAATGATTAAAATAGAGCAGGGCATAAGCATAAAGCAGGAATCTTTATAACAGTGAGATTGAAAATAATCCTAAAAAAAAAGAATTAAAAAGGGACCAGCAGATGGTGGAATGGTTACAACGCTGGTCTCCCATATAGTTAACCACGGTTCAAGTTCTGGTCCTGGTGGTTTAAAACTCACACAAGGAGTGTGTGCATGCGTGCCCAAGATCCCAAGAGGAAAATGAAGAAGGGCCTGTAGCGTGGCCGTCCCCCCTGGAGGGTGAGTTCTAGCTTTCTGTCTCTCTGTCTCTCTCTGTGTCTCCGGCAAGTGCATGAGCCCTACAGCAAGAACCTCTCTCAAAACAAACAAACAAAAACCTAAAATAGAATAGTCCTAGTGCCCACAAGTAGGGAACTGAATGTATAAACTGTGACATTGCTTCTAAATGAAGAATTACGCAGCTGGAAAAAGGAGTATCTTCCTAAGCAGGACGCAGCAATCACTAACAGATATTGCTACATCAGTATAGAGAGCTTGAGAAAAGTATGTGGACTATGCCTACATTTAGCTAACAAAGGGGAAGGAATACAAATATACATAGGTGTGTGACTATGTAAATTATGTTTAAAAAGTAAAGATAAACGGGGCTGGTTCTATAGCACGGTGATGGTTAATTAGCTCTGTGTGAAGAAAGCCAAATCCCACATGGCCAATCATGATTTGAATCCTGGCCTCTTTGGTTTGGAAAATACATAAGCAGGGCTGGCAGGTGCATGGGTGTTAAACCGTGGGATGCCTTATGGCCAACTGTGCGATCTGAGTTCTGGACCTACGGGTTTGAAAAGCATGGTGGGTGCATGTGCATGCATGCCCAAAATCCCAAGAGGAGACTGCAGGAGAAGGGACTGTGGCATGACCAAACCCCCTGGGGGGTGATTTCTCACTTTCTCTTTCTGTCTCTCTGGTGAGCAAACATGCCCTACAGCAAAAACAAACAAAAACAAAAACAAAAACAAAAACAAAACAAAAACAGAAAAAGAAAAAACAAAGTAGGCAGGTTTGTGTGCACATGCCCAGAATCCAGATGGGATGGAAGAATGGGGGAAAAAGGATTGTGGTGTGATCAGATCCCAAAGGGGGGATACTTTCTCTCTCTCTGACATGTAAATGCACCCTCTGGCATTAAAAAAAAAAAAAAAAAGGTACCATTTTCTTTTTGCCTTTCTTTCTTTTTTTTTTTTTAGATTACCTATAGGGACCAGCAGTTAGCGTAATGGCTATGTCGCTGAACTTCCATGTAGTCGACTGTGGTTCAAGTCCTGGATCCAGTGGCTTAAACTCACGCCGGATGCATGTGTGTGCGTGCCCAAGATCCCAGGAGGAGAATGGAGGAGAAGGGATTGCAGTGTGGCCATCCCCCCTGGGGGTGATTTCTCGCTTTCTGTCTCTCTGTCTCTCTCTTTCTGGCAAGAGCATGTGCCCTATAGCAAAAAAGCCTCAAAATAATAGTAATAATAAAAAGATTACCTATATAAAGAGGAAAAGGTAGGGGGGACAAGGATAGAAACTAGGTTTCCTTTCTTAAAAAAGTGTTTAAGATTTATTAAAGGGGAACCAGCAGTTAGCGTAATGGCTATGTCGCTGGACTCCCACGTAGTCGACCGCGGTTCGTGTCCTGGACCCGGTGGCTTAAAACTCACGCCGGGCGCGTGTGCGTGCGTGCCCAAGATCCCGAGAGGAGAATGGAGGACAAGGGATTGCGGCGTGACCATCCCCCCTGGGGGGTGATTTCTCGCTTTCTGTCTCTATGTCTCTCTCTGTCTGTCTGGCGAGCGCACGCGCCCTACAGTGAAAATCTCTCAAAAAAAAAAAAAGATTCATTAAAGTATAATTTATATACCAATATTTAATGTATACATTTTGATGCATTGGAAGTACCTACAGGTGTCTTTGATTATACCTTGTTTTGTAGAATCAAATTGGTTATTTTTCTGGTATCTATGGAAACATCCTAAAATCACTTAGCAATGAGCACACCTACCATTCACACTAAGGTTTTAAAAGACCATTTCACTTCAAAAGACCTGAGGGCTCCTGGGGAAAATGGCTGATTCCAGGCCTAGATCACGAATTGTAAAACATGAGCCTTTAACATCTTGAAATACCAAAGAGCAAGAAAATGATCAATGATTATTAGGATGAAAGATGAGAAGATGTAGGCATCAAGGGAACTCTCCTATACTGTTAGTCGGAATGTAAACTAGTTCAAACACTGTGAAGAACAATATGGAGGTTCCTCAAAGATCTACAAATAGAACTACCATTTGATCCAGCAATCCCACTTCTGGGTATTTACCCGAAAGACAGGAGAACGCTCAGTCAGAAAAGTGCTTGCACATCAATGTTTATTGCAGGATTATTCACAATTGCCAAGACATGGAACCAACCTAAATGTCCACAAACTGATGAATGGATTGGAAAAGTGTGGTATATATACTCTATGAAATACTACTCAGTCATAAAAAATAACAAGACCCTGGCATTTGATAGAAA